GGGTTTCTGTGCCCCTCTCATTCTTTCTGCCCCTCCACAACACGTCCCACCCCTCAGAAGGTCCGGAGGAACGCTGGTTTTCCCAACCCAACCCTACCTGGGGCCACCCTAGCCCTCCTCTGGGCAGAGAGAAGGAGGGCAGGGCCTGGGTGGCCCTGGAGTGCTCAGCGGAGCAGGCGGGAGCTGCGTGCCGGCCGGCCAGCCCCCAGTCGCGGCAAGGGGCGCGTCCCGCCCCGGCTCGGCCCCACCGCCTGTCTTCCCCCCAGGCCCTGGACCACGAGGAGCAGAGCCACTTCGAGCTGCTCGTCTCCGTCCAGAACCAGGCCCCGCTGGACCCCTCGGCCCCAAAGGCGGCCCGAGCCCTGGCCACGGTGCGGGTGCAGGTGCAGGATGCCAACGAGCCCCCGCTGTTCCCCGAGAACCCCTGGAGGGGGAGTGTGAACGAAGGCGCGCCCCCCGGGACCGAAATCGGCCTCTTCCGTGCCACGGACCCCGACACCCAGCAGGCACAGCTGCTCAGGTGAGCTGGGTCAGAGGGATGGCAGGGCGGGGGGGGTGCAGCACTCCGCACAGTGCGCATTGCACCGCAGCGCCGGGCCCTGGGAAGGGGGCACAGAACACTTCACGTCAGCACCAGCGGCTGCCCTTTCCTTCTGCTTTCAAAACCAAGTGGCTAGCCCTCATGACCCACCCCACACAGAAGCCACGCTTGTCCTGCTTGCACCCGCCCGGCATAACGTCCCGCCCTGGCACGGCGGGACAGCTCAGGCGCTGAGGCGGGGGCCCCACAGCGAGGCCGCTCTGGCCGGGGGGCCTCCCTGCCCCCGGAGGCACGCAGGGTGTGCGCAGCCCCCTCGCCCTGGGCATGCCTCTCCCTCTCTTTGCGCCAGGTACGCGCCAGCCCCGGACACGGCCGGCTGGCTGCACGTCAACCCAGACTCGGGCCTGCTGCTCGCCCGCCAGACGGTCCCCGCACGATCCACGTTCCGCCACGGCTGGTACACCGCACGGATCCTGGCCAGCGACGACGGTAGGGAGGCAAAGGCCGTCTGCAGCATCCGTCTCAGCCGTCCCACCGGATCTCCTCGGCGCAGCCCTAAGCTTGTGTAAAACCCAAGGGGAGAAAAGGGGGCAGGGAGCAGGCCGGCCCCAGGCGTGTGTGTGGGGGGGAATCACCTGAAGCAGGTACGTTCGCCAGCCCTGGACTGCGCTAGGCCGGCAGGCTGGATGCAGCTCTGCCTGCCGCGAGGGAAAGCGCCCGGCCCCTCTCCCTCCTCCAGAGACCACCCCACCCCCACCGCTTCCCCCACCCCGGGGCCTCCTCCCACTCCGGGGGCGCCCCGGGGCTGGCCGGCCATGGCAGGGCCCAGCTCTACCTGCGGTGCCTCGGAGGTGGGGGGGGAGCCGCGGCCGCTCGCTGGGAGCTCGGCCAGGAGGCCCTGCCCCATCCGCCAGCATGCCAGCACGCTGAGGGGAGGGGGAGGGGGGCCGGAGTGGGGGGCGCCCGGGTGACGCGCTCCGCCTCCCCGCAGGAACGCCCCCCCTCACTGCCACGGGGACCCTCTCCATCGAGGTGCTGGAGGTGAACGACCATGCGCCCCGCCTGCTGCCCGCGTCCCCGGTGCTCTGCAGCCAGGGGGACGGCCTGGTGCTGAGCGCCACCGACGAGGACCTGTCCCCCCACGCGGAGCCCTTCCACTTCAGCCTCGCCGCCGAGTTGGCCCACAACTGGACCGTCCGCCGCTGCAACGGTAGCCCTTCCGCAGCGCGGCCCCCCGCTGCCCCACGAGAGCCCCCGGCCTTGGGGGGAGGCCCCCACGCGCAGGGCGCCCAGCTGTGCCGTGGGCCCGGTGCAGAAGCGGGGCGGGTGGCCAGCCTCCCCCGGGCCGCAGCCCTGGCTGATCAGCCCCAGGGGGGCAGAAGCCGGGGGCCGCGGGGAAGCCAGCACGTGTGCCCGGCCGGGCTGGGGCCGTCCCTCAGCCTCCCCTCGTGTCCCCACAGCCACCCACGCGCTGCTGCGGCCCCAGGGAGAGGCGGCCGAGGGGCTGCACGTCCTGCCGCTGCTTGTCCGGGACTCGGGGACGCCGCCCCAGGCGCGGGAGCAGCTGCTGAACCTCACCGTCTGCGCCTGCGACGCGGGGGGCTCCTGCCGGGCTCGGGCGGCCGCCGTGGCCGGGGCCGGGGCCGGCCTCAGCTTCAGCGCCTTGATGATCGCCCTCGGCAGCGCCGCCCTGCTGCTGCGTAAGTGTCCCCGGCCCCGGGCGCGCCCCCCCACAACCCCCAGGTCCGGCGGGGCCTTCAGCCCGCGGGCCTTCCCGCGGGTCGAGGGGCGGGGGGCGAGGGGCAACCCCCCCGCCACCCGGCTTCTCACGCGCGTCTCGTCCCCGCGGCAGTCCTGGCGCTGCTGGTGGCCGCCCTGGAACGCTCCCGCCGGCGGGCACAGCGCAAGGGGCTCCTGGGGGCCTCCCTGGACGACCTGCGGGACAACGTCTTCAACTACGACGAGCAGGGCGGCGGCGAGGACGACCAGGTGAGGCCGAGCCGTGCGGGGCGGAGGGCGGGAGCGGGGCGGGCGGGCGGGCGGGGGGCCACCGGACCTCCGGGCTCCCCGCCTGCCCGCTGCCGTCGCGGCCACGCAGCTCGGTCCCCCACCGGGAAGCCCGTCCCGCCTGCGTTCTGCGGACTGCCAGGCCTCTTCCCTTCCTTTGTGGAATTTGTTTAAGGAATGCAGGAAAAGTTCCTTCCAGCTGCACGCACACACACTACCCTAACAGCAAATTTGTGCAAATTCCCCTCCTTGTTTTTAAAAAATTCGGCAAATGCGTGGCACCGAAGCTGCAGGCCAGAGCCGCAGAAACTGTGGCCTGTGGGGGTCCACGCGGCTCTCCTGGCCCCCCACCTCCTGGGCACACGCACTCGGGGGCCGCTCGGCGGCAGAGCCGGTGGGGCAGGGAAGCGTCGAGCCAGCCTCTCTGCTTGCAGGAAGCCTACGACCTCAACCAGCTGCGCAACCCGGACCGGTTCCCCCCGCCCTCCCCCCGGGGGAAGCCCCCACGCCGGAGGGACGCCCCCCACAGCTACGCCCTGCCCGAGCCCCCGCGGCGCCTGCCCGCCTGCCCGGCGGACATCGAGGAGTTCATCCATGAGGTGACGGAGCACGGCGGGCCGGGGGGCGCTTCCCGGCGGCACCAGCCACGCGACCCGAGCCGAGCCCTGCAGCCACGAGGGGGGGGGGTCACCCGGCGGGTCGCTCGCCGCGGGGCTCAGAGGGCCCTCTGGGGGGCCGACGCAGGCTGCTCCAGAACATGCGGGCCCTGCCCCGGGCTGCCCCGCTCCCGAGGGCGCCACCATCCCCGGCTGGGGGGCCGCCGGACCCAGGGCAGCCCCCGGGGAGGAGCGGCAGGGCCCCGTCCCCTGCGCCCCGCGGGCTGGGGGAGAGCCGTGTGTGCCAGCCCCTCTCCCCCCGCAGGGCCTGGAGGTGGCCGACCGGGACCCCAGCGTGCCCCCCTACGACACGGCGCTCATCTTCGACTACGAGGGGGACGGCTCGGCCGGCGGCTCGCTCAGCTCCATCCTCTCCACCGAGGCCGACGAGGACCAGCACTACGACTACCTGCAGGAGTGGGGGCCGCGCTTCCGGCGCCTGGCCGAGCTGTACGGCCAGTAGGGGAGCCCAGGGGGCGGGGGCACGGAGCAGCCCGGGGTGCCCCCGCCCCCTAACCACCCCCCCACAGGCAGGAGCGCTCTGTCTCCTGCGAGGAAGGAGGCGCGACAGCCGCGGGCAGGACGGGCTTGCAAGTGAGCGTCGCCGGGCCACGGGGGGCCTGGCCAGGCCCCCAGCACCCCTGCGGGCACCCTCCTTTCGAGGCCCGCCTGGCACGCCCCCCCAGCCAGGAGCACCTGACACGGGCAGCAGCTCCGCAGGGACCACTGAGGGGCCACCGGAAGGGCCGGGGCAACGGGCGCCCGGCTGCAACCAGCCAGCCAGCGAGGCGGTTCGGGGGCTCACGCACGCAGGGCTGCGGGCAAGAGGGGGCTGCAAGGAGGCCGGATGCGGGGGGACGGGGAGGAGAGCCACGCTGCCCTCTCGGGTGGCTCCCAAGCCCCCGGGCCGGAGCAGCCCCACGCAGGAAGGAAGAGGCTTCGGGGCAGCCCTGTGTCCTGGCCCCACACCCGAGGCCTCTGCCACGGCCCCGGCCCGCCCCCAGGCTGTGCCAGGTCTGCCCTTTCATGGGGGGCGGGGGCCACGGGGCCCGTCCTGCTGCGGGTCTCTGCTGGCGTTGGGGGACGGGGACGCGGGAAATAAAGCTGACGCTGAGTTACAAAGGCAGTGCAGTTTATTAGAAGCCCGGGGACGGGGGAGGGGGAGGCACGGGGGGGGAGGGGGAGGCACGGGGGGGCGGGGGGGCGGCCTGTTGCCCCTCCCGCGCTCGGTGCCTCGGCAGGACGGCCCCGGAGGCTGGCAGCTGCCCCTCCCGCGCTGGGACAGGCTCAGCGGGAGCCCCGGCCCCCCCGGCCCCAGGGCCCGGTGGGGGCGCAGGCCTCAAGCCCTCCCCCTGAGCGCCGCCGGGCTGCGGGGGGTCAGATCCCGGGCGGGAATCCAGCATCTCCTCGGTGGCCGCGGCAAGGAGGGCGCAGCTGCCTGGGGCGGAGGGGCCGGCCCGGGGGCAGGAGGAGAGCAGTGGCAGCTGGTCCTCGTGCTGCTGCCCCCCGGGGGGTGGAAGAGCGGGGGCGCTGCCGGCTCCCCCCTTCCCGCAGTGAGTCTGGCAGGGGCTCGCCGCTGCTCTCCGGAAGGAGCAGGACGCTCGGCGCCGAGAGGACGGCGAAGGAGGCGAAGACCACGAGGCGCAGGAGTGGCTGTGGCTGGGGGGGACCTCCGCGATGGGGGCGGCGGCCTGGCCCCCCGCCTCGGTGGCTGGGATCAGGCCCAGCCCAGAGCCCCCGTAGGATGGGAATGGGGAAGAGCACGACGTGGGCCACGCAGGGCTGCCGGCCAGCCCCCGAAGCAGCAGTGGGGCGGAGGGAGCAGCCTTCCCCCAGCGCAGGCCCTCCAGGGGCTGGACTACAGCTCCCACCCTCCCCCCTCGGCTCTCTCGGCCCCCCAGGCTGCCTCCGACGCACCCCGCGCGTGCCACGAGCACCCACGCGCCCAGCCCTCTCTCGGGGGAACGTGGTCGCGGTGAGAAACAGGCCCACGGGGCAGAAGCGCACGAATCGGGCCCGGCCCCGCAGGAGCAACGGCGGCACTACCTGGCCAGCCCTGGCTTACAGGAGCCACAATACTGGGGGAGGTGGGGCCGGCGGAGCAAGGCTCGGCAGGCGACTCAAGCGAGCAAGTCAAGCTGCATTCACCCAGGCTCAGCAAAACAACAGCAGGGCACGGGGGCAGGAAGCCATAAATCCCAGCAGAGGAGACCCCTCTCCCTCTCCCGCTGCCCCAGAATCCTGTATGCCCCCACCCCCACCTCGCCCGTGGCTTCATTACACCGAGTCAGGGCGGCAGGAGCAGCGGGGAGACCCCCGTCAGGATGGTGCTGGCCAGGAGGACGGCCCGGCGCCCGAAGCGCCCCGCCGTGAGCCACAGCGGGGGGGGGGGGGGCAGCGCCCCGCTCAGCACCAGCAGGAAGTAGGGCAGGCAGAACTGGGGCGCAAAGGGGGCCAGGCTGCGCGTGAAGCAGTGCCGGACGCCGCCCCCGATGAACCTGGCAGGCGGGGGAGGGGCGCCATGGGGCCCTGCAGGGAGACGCGGCCCCAGAGCGGAGCCGGGCTCAGCCTCTGCCCCCACCCTCCCCAGGCACCTTGCGGACGGACGGGGGGCTGGTGCCCAGAGGCCGCTGGGATGGCCTGTTCGCAGCCTCCCGCCAGCCCAGGGCGCATCACAAGCGGGGCCAAGCTCAGCCGTGCCGGGTTGCTCCCCCCCCCGTGCTGCCCGCACCGCGCGAGAGAGAGAGAGAGCCGCCCCCCCAGCCCACCCCTCGCCGCCCCCCACAAGGGCGAAAGGATGCGCGCTTACGCCGTGAGGCCGAGGACGAGGCAGTTCCTCCAGAGCACGCGGGTGCCGAACACCCGGACGATGCCGCAGTACCGCAGCTGTGGGGGGCCGTCGGCCGGGTCGCCCCGCTCTGTGGAGAGGACCAGCGGCCGCTGGGGGGGGGGCCCGCCACCCCCACGCTCCTTGGGGCCCTGCGGGTTGGGGCTTCTGCCGCCAGCAAGCGCCAGCCCCCTTTTCTGCGCAGTGGGGGTGGGCTGGCGAACTGGAGGGCCCCCCAGGGAAGGTCGCTTCCTCTGTTGCAGCCCCCGGCCCATTTCCCTCGGCTGAAGCAGCCCCCATCCCCCGCGGGGCCTCCCCTGCAGGGAAACCCCAAGCCACATCAAGGACCCACCCCGGAAGAGCTCATCCTCCAGGGGGGCTCCGCTGCCCTCGGCCAAGTCACGCAGAGCCCCCTTGCCTTTCTCGAGCTGGCAGGCGGCCAGGAGCCAGCGGGCCGATTCGGGGAAGGGGGGGGCCCTGCGCGCGGGGAAGAGAGGCGGCACAGGTGGGCCAGGTGCCTGGAGCGGTCCGGTGGGCTGAGCCCCAAGCGCCCTCCTTGGCTCTGGGGAGCGTGGGAAAGGGAGCTCCCTGGGCGGCCTCGCCAGAGGAGACCCCACTCAGGCATTGGCTGGCTGCACTTCTGGCCTCAGTCTCCCTGTCCGGATTATGGGATCAGCCACGACCGTATCCTTGGTGTTGCCAGGCTGAGCAAGACGAACGGGAGTGGCGGAGAAATCGAGCCATCTCCAAGAGACAAGGGCGGCGGCACCCCCACAACCCCCCACATTACCGGCAGGGAGGCAGCGCTGCATGGCTGTCCCCCCGCCCCCGCGGCTGCCCCTCCGCCTGGGGATGCCGTGGCTGAGTGGCCACGCTCGAGGAGGGCACACAGGCAAAGCAACCTGCCCCTCAGCCCAGGTTCAGCCACGAGGCTCACAGGGTGACTTCAGGCGACTCCCTGCACACGGGGGCACTAAGAAAGGCCCCCGCCCCTGACCTTGGCCCCCCACATGCCCCCCGAGGCGAGTCGGGTCTGTGAACAGCAGGCGGCTGCACCACGCACCCAGCAGCCAAGGGGTGTCTCCCCCCGCTCTGCGCAAACGCTGTGAACTCTTCTGAAAGGGGGGCCACACACGCAGAAGCCCCCCCCCCCGCCGGGCACACGTCCTCACCTGCCCCACGTCGGCCACCCTCAGCGTGACAAAACCAGCTCTGCCCGGAAGCGCGCCCTGCCGAGCGCCCGCCGCCCACTCGCCCGACGCGCTCTCGATGGGCTCTCCCGGGCGGGCGCCTCCCGCGCCAGGGCTCCGCGGCCCCTGCCCACTTCAGTCTCGGGCGAGCGCACACGCGCCACCAGCAGCGCCGGCCCCCGGGACCACCCGCTGCAGCAGCCGCCAGGCCTCGCAGGCCGCGGCCAGCCCGGCAGGAGCAGCCCCCGGCCACCCAGAAGAGCCCAGCGCCCATGGCGACCGCCGGCCGGGGCCGGGGCCCACGCAGCTCCAGCCCTGGGCAGGAAGGACCGGAGAGGCGGGCAGGGCAGGGCCGGGCCGGGCAGGGGGAGAGGGCCCCTTGGCGGGCGGCCGCGGGAGGCGCAGAGGGACACGGCCAGCGCCCCGATCTCATCCTCCGGAGGCCCGTCCCGGCGCCCACCACTGGCCCGATGCCCCCCAGAGGTGAGGGCTGGCTGCTCCCAGCACCGCTGCCGGCCCTGCCGCTGCGCATGCACGTCCTGGGCGACGGGGCCTGCAGCCGAGTGCCCCAGGGCGGGGCGTGCTGCTCAGAAACAGCAGCCCCCAAGAACCTGGTCGGGGGTTGCAAGGCTGCGCTGCCTTCCCGGGTCCTTTGGGGCGTGTGTGTGTTGTGAGAACGCTTTAGCCGCGGAGAAGACACGTGCGCTCAACGGAAACTTTTCACCCTCTTGTCCGTCGGCCGCCGAGCAACACGCGAGCGCCTCGGACAAGCTGAACGGGCCGGGACACCTGTGGGCACCCCCGTGGCGCTGCTCTCAGCTCAGAGCCCCCCACGCAGCCTGGACCCAATTCACACGGGCAGGACGGCTTGGGAGAGGGAAAGGCCCCCGGGCCGTGAATCCGGGCTGCAGTCCCTTGATGACCCCACCCCCCGCCCCAAAGCACTG